TGAATGTATTTGTCGTGTAGAATCTTGGGAACTATGCAACCATAGAAGAAGAATTCCTGGTTTATCCGTATTAATCCAGGAACATTTGAACCAGTGTATCTCTATAGTCTAGGAGAGAAATGGACAATAAACAGCAGAGGTGGGTTTCAGATTAGACACGAGGTAGAACTTTCAAGAAGTGAGGATTGGCAAACCCTGAGTAGTGTAATCATTTTTTTTCTGCCCCAGAGTCTATATAAAGAAACACAGAATCTTATAATTTGAATAGTTGAACACGATCCTGTTGAAAGGAACAAAAACAGGTGAATTGGTCTCATCATATCTCCCATTATCTCAGTAACTATTTGAGTCATTCACTATTCACCAGATTTTTGGAAATGGATACAGACTGGCAAGTATCCTGATGTCCCTTGATGCCGTGGGTAAGGACTAGCCCTTATTGTCCTCAGAGAAGTTGTGGGCACAGATAGATAAGGGGTTTGAAGATAACAGAGTGACATCGGTGAGGTGGGATTTGAACTGCCTCAGGAGGACAGGTAGCTATTTCTCTGAACTGGAGGTGCTGCCTCCTTGGATCATTACGGAGAAAGATGCCTAAGAATCTCTTTAGTGCCTGCTCTAGAGTACCTGGATTTGCAAATCCTAGAATCACTTTCCCCTTGTATCCCCATTTTCAAATGAAAGAACAATCCCTCTAGACACGGATGGCAAACTGATTTTATCTGGAATGCCAACTCCAACCTTTAGTAGTGGCTATCGAAAGAATGTGTTGAGAAGGATTCTGAGCTCTTGTCCAAGACAGAGTTCTTCTGTGATGGATTAGTGATGTCTGCCACTGTCACAGCACAAAGAGACAGGCAGCAATTGTGCCACATATTTGTATTCACTAACCAGCATGTTGCTAGGTCTCAGTTCATGGGGTGGACTACTTGCATCTGGGAAAACACAGAGCAATCAATACCCTGAAGGAATGCGAACAGGATAGTTACATTTTGATAAACTGATGGAAGAACTGAAGTTTGAGACATATTGGAGAAGCCAGACTGGAAGTGTAAGTCATATGTGGCACACTTGCTGCTTATCTCTATACTATGCCAGTGGCAGACATCACTAATCTATCACAGCACTCTCTCTGGGACATGGCCTCAGAATCCTTCTCAACATATTCTTTAGATAGCCACTACTAGTTCGTTTGAATTGGCTTTCCAGATTTGATAAGGTGGAAAGGGGACAAATGTTAGGCAATGGGGACCTAAAAGGTGAATTAGACTGTGAAATCGCTTAGGGAAGGGATCGTGTCTTGTTTATCATTGGACCCTCCATGCCCAGAACTGTGCCTGACCAAATTTAGTCATCGATGAATGATTATTGAAACCAATATAGACTAACTGAAGCTATTAACAGGGGATGATTCCAACAGCATCAGCAATACTAGCTACCATTTAATGGGCATTCGCTAAGTACCAGACACACTGCTTCATTTACAGGTCCTATTTCATTTAATCCTCACAACAATCATATGAAATGTGTGCTAATATTTTAAATTTACGTAAGGGGAAACTGAGGCAGGTGTTAGTAACTAGCTCAAGGTCATCCAGCTAAAAAGGGCAGAGCTGGGCTTCATACGGTAGTTCTATCTAACCCCAGAGGCTGTGCTCTTAACCACACAAATATTAACTGTTATTTTTTTTTTTAAGATTTTTTTTTATTGGGGAATTGGGGGGATGGGAACAGTGCTGGGGAATTAGGGGAAGGGGAACAGACAAGTTGCTGTCGTTTTGGTCTTCAGTCTAGTTGTGGAGGACGTTGCTTCACTGGCCTAAGTTGGCACCATCATTGCGCTCTTCCCGGGCGAGGCAGATCAGTCGCCGGCTTCTGGACGGCCGTTCACTGCGGCTGCTGGCCGCTCACACTGGCTGCTGGCTACACACGGTAGCCCATGGCAACCCACTGCAGCAGGGGCTGCAGCCTACGCCGTCGCCAGCGACTCACGGCAGCCCAGCTCCAGGTTGAGCTGTTGTTCAGCATCTTAGCTGTGGAGGGCAGTGTCACCGGCCCTCATATGTGGGATCCGAACCGGGGCCCTCTGGCGTCCCAAGCCAGTTCTTAACCATTGCGCCACTCGGCCGGCCCTTAACTGTTATTTTTTAAGTAAATTATGTCCCAATCACTGTTCTATGACCTGTACATGTATTAATTCCTTTCATCCTTACAGCTAGTCCACAGGACAGTTAATGTTTATGGAATCTTTATATTTCTGATGAAGAATCTGAGGCTGGGCCAGACCAGTGGCGCTTTGTTTAAGATTTGGCTTGGGACGCCAGCTCTGAGCAGCAGGGCCCCAGTTCTGATCCCACATATGAGTGCCAATGATGCTGTGCCCTCTACAGCTAAGATGATGAACAACAGCTCGACCTGAAGCTGGGCTGCCATGTGTGAGTCACTGGCGACAGCATAGGCTGCAGTGGGGCTGGCTGGCAGCTGGCATGAGCTTTTGTGAGCTGCTGGGAGCCACCGAGAGCAGCTGTCCAATGGCCAGTGAGCGACTGCCTCAGCTGGGAAGAGTGCAATGATAATACCAACATGGACCAGTGAAGTGGAGTCCTCCACAACTAGACTGAAGCACAAAAGGACAGCAATTTGTCTGTTCCCCTTCCCCGATTCCCCAACGCTATTCCCCTCCCCCCAGTTCCCCAATAAAAAAATAAAAAGAAAAAAATTAAAAGAAACTGAGGCAGAGACAAGTGAAGTCACCCCTCCAAGATCACACAGTTAGGAAATGGCAGAGCTGGGATTCAAACCTAGGAAATCTGGCTTTGAGGCCCTGCATTTATGACTCAAGACTCCCAATTTAGAAGTCTCCACACCATGTACCTCTCAGTATGTGGCTCATGGGTATCTGAGAGTTTTTGCACAATCCCAGGCTGGAATGCTTGCTACCCTCAGGACCCCCATCTCCCAAGCAGAAACAGAAACTGTACTTTTCACAGACTTCCTTTGCTTTGTACAGAATCACCTTGGGCAAGTCACTTGACTGTCCTACATCTCAACTTCCTCACCGTTAAACCAATCAAGAGGAGCTCTCCCTCCTCACCTGCCTTAAGACTACTGTTCAGGCATCAGAAGAGGCAGCGTTATGCAAATGGAAACTTTATCAACATTGCAGAAACTTAGAAATGGAGCAGGCTAGGAAACGTTGATTGATCTTGTGGGGGTAGGATGCCAGCTATCTTTTCTGTGCAGGTGACTCAGTTCAGACCCCAAATGTCATGACTAAGGATGGTTTTTAATATCCCAGGCTACTTAAGGAGCTAGATCTCAAAGTCATTTAAAATGACAACGTCAGGGTGAGAAACAGGGGCTGAGAGCGATGAGGGAGTGGGGAATTTGGGGTGGGAGGAAGGGGAAAGGACAGGTAGGAACTTGTCTCCCGTTTTCCTCTGCCTCCAAGCTGCCCAGCCCTAACCTCACCTCCCGGCAGCCGCAACCCACTTTTAAGAAACCAGCAAATGCATCTTTAGTTGTCGACCAGAAGGGGTCGCTGCAGAGCGAGCAGCGCTCCCAGGCACATAAGCAGGAACACAAATGACCAAATACACATACATTTGAAAGTATATGAGCTTCTAGACCCATACTCAGTTACTCTTAGGTTCTTTTTTCTTCTCCTCCCCCATCTTATTCTCTTTGCGTTCCTTCTCCCCTTCCTGTCCATTCCCCTCCTGTTCCCTTTCAAAGAATTCCTGAAGTTCACATTCTTGGTCCCCATCCCTGTCAGCATCAGCAAAAAACATGGGTTTATTCTTGCTGCGGCCGAGACCTGTGCCAGGCGCTTGGAGGCCTTTAAGACTCGGTTAGGCCTCCTTCCGGGAGTTTGCAACCTGGGGTGCGGGAGTAGCAACTCGGCTGAGAAATGGCTGCTTCCAGATCTGAGGCAGGGGATTTATAAACTAAGCAAGGGAGAAATGGGCTAAGGGGTCCTGGCAACTGTCTTTTACTTAACGAAAGCCTTGGGGGGGTGGAACTAGCGAAATTCTGCCAAGACCCTCTGTGCCTAGGGTTTATTTGTGATTCTAAGCTTCCAATTTGGGGGATTGGGGTTGAAGGGAGGGATTAGAAAATGGAAAGAAAGCTCGAAAAAATAACTACTTCCCTGTGATCCTCAGATGTCCCCCCCAAACTCCCCCACCCCCCTGCGCTTTTTTTTTTTCCAAAACGGACTCCTCTCCTGAGACAGCTCTGTTAAGAAAAAAAGTGCTACAGCCGAATTCCCCAGGAGTGGATGGGATGGGATGGGGTGGGGGTACTCCTTTTGGACGGGTTTGGCAACGGGGACGTTGGACTGGCTGGCTGTGAGGCACAAAAGCATCACCACATGCACAGATGTAACGCTGCGACCCTCTGCGGGCGGGGGCCCGGCTCGGCAGATGGCGAGAAGCCGAATCGGTGACGGATTGTCCATCAAATGACACTTTCTGGGTGGTGGGGCTCTCCAGGCGCTCAGGAGCAAAGAGGAATGCAGGAGACCCCTTTTGCCTGCCTAGGCAGTCCCTCCCAGAAGTGAGGGAGGGGCAGGTTGGGCGGATAGGTTAAGTTTTTTACTCCACCCTTTAATAGGAAATCCTCTACAAGACTTGCAAAAA